ATAGTTTTGAGTTTACTTATGCGGTCCATTGGAAATAAAAATACCATCCTGCTGGGCCTAGGATTCCAAATACTACAGCTTGCCTGGTATGGCTTTGGATCAGAACCATGGTATGTAAATTTCATTTCAATATCGGAAGGATAGGGTGTTTTTCTGGATTTTATCCTTTATCCCAGGGAAGCACTTAAGTGTGCGTGCATGTACGTATACACGCATACGCATGCTCCCAGTGCAGAGCGGTTACTTTGCGTCTGTGTTCCTTGCAGGATGATGTGGGCAGCTGGAGCCGTTGCAGCCATGTCCAGTATTACTTTCCCAGCTGTAAGCGCACTGGTGTCACGAACTGCTGATGCTGACCAGCAGGGTGGGTTTGGTCCTAATACTTGGAATTGCAGTCAGAGAGTGCCGTGACTGACGGGGCAGGGTGTCCTGAAGGTGCCCGCCCGCCTCCTGGCGCAGAGCAGCCCCCGCACCTGCGCACAGGTCACAAGCTGTTAAAATCCAGGTTAGCTGGACGTTGTCATACAGGGGTACCGCCTCCTTCTGGCACAGAGGGAAAACACTCGGGTCCCAACGGGAGCAAAACATTTAGCAAACTTAATCTGCTGTTCGTCTTCCTCGCTTTTGACAAAAGTTAGCTGTCCGTGCAGTGCCTTCTCTCCTGTGTGGCGGCGCTAGCAAGGACACTGCATACACACCTCCTGGTCTTGGAAAGAGCGTAGCGTGGGCAGCACCACCCCGTGCCTGTAGGGAGGTGGAAAAACCTCGAGTTGTGCTGCACCCCTCCTCTAGTGCCACCCGTAGTGCAGCACCACCCAGAGAAGCTTCCCTCCTTGCGTCGGTCTGAAGCGAATAAAGCCTTACCGAGCTGTTCATAATCCATTAAAAGTGGTTACTCATCGATGTATAAATACAGATGGAGAACGGTGTCTTTTCCTTTTCCCAGGTGTTGTTCAAGGGATGATAACAGGAATTCGAGGCCTGTGTAATGGACTGGGACCAGCACTTTATGGTTTTATATTCTATATATTTCATGTTGAACTGAATGAACTCCCCATGCCTGAATCGCCGCCGGGAGGCAGCGTGGTCACACAGTACCATTTACAGCAGGTACTCTTCTTTCACTTACCGATTCCAAAAAGAGCAATTGGGAGGGGGCCACGTGCCCGCCAGTTCTTGAGGATGCCGCTGCGTTGCACTTAGTTACGCTGAGGGTCCAGGAGGCGTGTCAGGAGAGGTTCTGCAGTCGCTCTTGGGGAGGGCTGTTGATCTGTTTGGTTGGGTTTAACTAGACGGTACGGTTTAGTTTAACTTCCAAAGCGACAGAGCTGGTAGCAATTAGACAACTGATGAGCCTGGTACAGAGAGCAGATTGAGGGAAGGATGGAGTGAGAACCACAGCCTCCCCTCCTCTCATGTCTCCCTGACATTGTAGTTACCTGTCACGTCGTCTGTGGTTTGGTTGTGTTGTCCTTCAGTCTCTCAACCAAGCTCTCTTAATTTTTTAGTTCCTAGTAGATCCTAATTTGTTGAGGAAACCCGGCAGCAAGACCCTGCCCTAGAAAAGGAAGGTGGCAGGCAGCCTAAGAACCACGCGCTCCCTCCCTCTCTTAAGCCTTAGCATGTAATGTTCTTTCCATGCTGCTTTTAAAAGACTCCACAGGGGGACACACACCGTACGGGCTAGCGGAGCCAGAAAAAGTGCTTCCCCCTCCTGAAATTTGTGCAATTAGCAACTGTAGTCCGTTAACACGTGTCTAAGGTTCACTAATACTGCCTGGGGTTACGCTGTTGTTCTCAGAATTCCATCATTCCTGGCCCCCCATTCCTGTTCGGAGCGTGCTCTGTGCTGCTGGCGCTGCTTGTTGCCTTGTTCATTCCTGAACACACGAACCTAAACGTACGCTCCAGCAACTGGAAGAAGCACTGCGGCAGCCACGGCCACCCCCACAGTCCCCAGGCTCCCGGTGAAGCTAAAGAACCATTGCTGCAAGATACAAACGTATGACAAAAATCCAGGAAGACCTTTTAGACTTTCTTTTTTTCCATCAGCAGTTTGGGATACACATTCCAATTCCATCAAAAATGTAATTTCTTAAGGTAATCTTAAGAAGTATCTTTCTGCATGAAGTTTGTAGGAATTAAAAAAAAAAGGACGTTTCTCCAAAGACGCTGCCATCGAATGAATAATTTACTTCTCAAACCAACCTGTTACATACTTGTCTCTTGCCATGAAATACCGTTACTACTAAACTTGACGTTCTAGTTCAGAGACAAAAAAAGAGTAGAGCCCAGGCATGAGCACGTGTCCCCTTCTGTTTCCTTAAGGTGGTGAGCTTTAATTCCAGTCATGCTACGTCTCAGTGAGACATACGAGCATCTGCGTGGACCCATTCCTTTTAATGTTGTAAAATCTTGGGTCAGATGATTCAAAGCCTTAATGTAAATGTCCTCGAGCAGGGAGAAGGTGAATTGGTATCCTTTATTTTAAAAGTCCCATGGCAGGTTTTTTTTTTTTTTAAGTTTGTACTAATCGAAAAATCACACGAGCACGCTTGCTGAACAGTAAAAGTTATTTTTATGTAAGTGCATTTACTCTTTCTATTTTTGAACAAACGGTAGTATCAAACACTTGTTTAAGTATGAAGTGGGTGTTTTGAGCCTACAACTTTTAATAGGGGCTCCAAAACGCTGCTTTCCGAAGTACCGTTTATTATATACCACTATATTTCTGATGTTTGCGTAATCATAAAGGACCTCAAAACTTGAATACAGAGACTGAACTATAAGCTGAGAGCCTTGCCTCTGTCCGTGTGCTATATCGTGGCCTTTGAGGACTGTCACAATAACCCTTTTGCATTACAGAGCTAATGTTTTAGTCCGACATTTTCAGGACCCTTAGTACAGAAGAGAGCTTTATACAATTACTGATGTGAATTTCTCTAAAAGTGTATATTTTTGTGTCCGGTTGTATTATTTAAGTGTTCCTTTGTATAAATTTGTGTATAAAAAGTATTGTATAGGTTTAAAATGTTTTCATCTTGTGGTTATTGCTTAATGCTTTTTTACCTTTGAACATTCACCATGGTTGACCAAGAGCAGGAAAAAAAAAATATGTAAATATACTGTTAATAAAGTCAAATATTTTAATGAATTTTTAAATAATTGTTAACGTCTCTTAAAACCTTAACTGAAGTTCTGTAGTGTAGGTGTGGGGGAAAAGTCAGGGGCACAGGTCCAGCCCGGCCTTGTACCTGTTAGCTCGGGCTGCCTTGAGCAGGCTGATGCTCTCCCTTTTGTTGGGCGGATCGAACGGCACAGGATCGCGACAGAGACAGGCTGCAAGAAAGGGGCTGGGAACAAAGACGGGCGACCTTTAGCGCACTGCAGTTGCTGCAATGCCCTCGGTCTTTCTTCCCAGGCCCACTACAGTCTTGTTCCATCTTAGATTTGAATGGGAGATCTGGAAGGCCACCACATTTTAATTCCCAGCTTAATCTGTACTTCAAGAGAAATGGGCCAATTCACATTAATTTACACCTACTAAGACAGAACTAGAAATAGGAGCGTAAGCACAGACCTTGGAAGGGGGCAGCTGCCACCTGGGGCTTGCACGTGCATCCCAGCGCTGGGCCGGTAGCGCTGCCTCGCGTGGGGAAACGAGTAAGCTGGGAAGAAAGCTCCAGAGAAGGGTAAGGCGAGTACCGCAGTGCTGGTCTGGCACTTACCTCAGCTTGGCATTTCTGTACAGCGGAGATGTTGGGTTAGTACTCTTCAAACATTACTCCTCAGTTTTTGATAAAAACCATTTAATATTTCCATTGAAACTTACAGACGCCAGAAGTGAATATACATCATCATGGTGCTGGTTTATACACAAATAGACACATTTTGCACTGCAAAACAAACCACTTAAATGTACAATCCTCTGGATGCACTTAAAATTACTAAGGCAAAAGGTACAAAATATCTTTAACAGCAGAAGTATGTAAGTAGTCATTAAAAAAAGTGTGTTTTGTATGTTACAAATACTTGCATGCCCGTTCTTTAGTGGGCCACCAAATAAAAGATGGCACAGAATGAAGTTGTTACGCGATTCCAGCGTTTGAACCCCCCGCAGCAAAACAAGCTGGATAGACTCAGTCTACCTAAACTTAAATTTCTGTACAGTTGTAAAGTATGATCAGTAAAAGTGAAGCGGCTTTTAGATGTTGCGATACTTCCAATAGTTAACTGTTCAGATCCTTACCGTGTTTTATGCATGGTGGCCTGTGGAACGTCATACTGACAGATGAATAGAAAAGTCAGGGTAAGCAAGAGTGAGAATTTTAAATTATAGTTTTATATACTTTCAGCAAAATAATTTAGCATCTTCCTTTAACATTAAATATTAATATTTGTTGGTCTATATGCACTTCAAATAAGCTGGTTCCAAAATTAAGCAAGTTTTTAAAATCCAAACTGTAAGGCAGGATTAGCGAGGCAGTCCTGCTAACTTAGGAGTTTGGCCGTGATTCAACTGGACAGCCTCACCCTGCTCTCCCGCACTTTCTGCTTGCATCATCCTTTCTCTGAAAGGAGTCAAGAAAAGTATTTATCCCTAGGGAAGTGTTCTCTCTCAGGGAACGCTAGAGCATACGTTTCATCCGTTACAGAGCCACACTTGTCAATTCCTGTAACAAAAACATCGGTGCACTTAAGTGGGTTTTTAAGAAGCCTACAGGGTCTCCAGTCTACCAAGAGAAAATTCTGCACAGCCCAGCTGTTAGTCACTTTTAACTGCAGCGTTGCTCCCCCTGAGGCTGCTTAAAGTTTTATCTTTTCTTTAGGCTCAAGTATCCTGAAAAGTCAGTCAAGATAGCTTTCTCAAAGCAAACAGATTCACACTGATGATAAACTTGCGGTCACAGTGATACTTTACTAATACATCGTTACAGGGCACCCAAAAATCTCCCAGGTGGTTAAAAGAGGACTCTCTCTTACTTTAAGAACCCTGTCTACTATCCAGGAAAATAGGCTGAGGCTGGTGCTAGCGCAGCTTTTGGTGACGGCTGGGCTTTTGGTGGCAAGTATGGTTTCAGGTACTCTGTAGAACAGCAGAAACAAGATACCATTGACAGAACCGTAACTATCAATACCCTTCCAGTACATTTCAAATAAGGTCTTGTTTTCCTGTTTCCATACATACCTGAGTTAAGTGTATTTTGACTAAGCCCTCGTAAAGGAATGCTGTCATCTTTTTTCTTGAAATATTTTGAGTCCAGCCCCAAATTATCACCACTAGAAATAAAAAAGGCTAATTATTAAAATTTTAAACAACTGTAGTTAGTTAGCAGTGCATTAACAACAGGTCTAGATACAGCCTCATGCAGAAAAATCTTGAAGTGGAACTACTGCACGCCTATGAGCTTTGTCATTCAAAGGTAAACCATCGCTGAGCAGGTTAAGGACAGCCTAGAACTAACTTTTTGACTGACCCATCACCTGAGAGCCTCAGGTCTGTCCCCAGGAGGGACGATGAACTTCTTTTCCTTGGAAGCCGCTCCTGAAGGCACGGCTCTTCATTTATTATCTACAAACCATGCTGAGTGAGCAATTAAGTCTGCCACAACTTAAAATGCATTAACATGTTGATGGAGAAAGGCAGGTCACAGAACTAGCTCGGTACTGGAAATGTTTTGCTCAGTTCCAGACACACGTAGAAGACAAACAGCTCTGTAAAAATAATAATAAAAAACTCACTAAAAATGCAACAGATGGCACTTACTTCTCCTTGTTTGCTGGCTGACTAGTTGCAGGCACTGCCTGAGCTTCTGAACATCGACTCAGTTTAGAAAGCTGCGTGCTAAACTGCATCTGCAGAAACGTAAGAGTTGCAGGTTAAAGAGAGCTACTCCGGGTATGAGGGTCCCCCAGCGAGTGCGTTCGGAGGGTGAGCTCTTCAGGGATTAATGCTTCTATACGGTGCACAGCACTTCTGTGCAGCAAAGCATGCAAGAACAAGCAACCTAAAACCAAGCAGTAGCTATTTCTAATAGTGATCGTGTTCAAGGCGGGGCGTTTCAGAGTACTAGGATATACAGTAAACGTGCATTTTGAGAAGTAATCAAAGCGTAATGTTTTGATATTTTATGCTATCACGTTCTTCACCAAACAGAAAAGTCAAAGCGCCTGCCTTTGGTACCGGACATTGTGAATTGACGTTTCTGTTGTGTGCTGGCTCTGGGAAGTTCTGGAAGGCATACAGAGGAGAAAAGGGATGACTGATGCCTGAGCTGGGAAAGGATGGTCGGTCAGGCTGTAAGAGAAATGGAATACATCCAGAAAGGAGAAAAACAAGTCTTGAAGTAATTGTTTGTAAAGATTCAAAATTCCAAAGTTAACAACTAACCACAACTACAAAGGTAACGCTCATTTGAGTCTTCTGATGGGAACAAAATGCCACTTTTCCAAGATTCACATTCTTAAGGAAAACTCGTAACTTTTTGTAAGTTAGAGGAGCTGAGCACTCTTAGCTAGTATTTATAAGCTCATAATAAGCTACACACCCTGTAACTGATTAATATATTAAATGTATCTCGCTATAAATCAGAGACCTCTGCATGAATATGCCCTTCCACTGCTGAATAAGCAGCTCATCCATTGCCAGGTGACAACAGACACCTGTACACACGGGGACAACAAAGACTAAGAACCAATAAGCTATGGTATTTAACAAAGATAGTAGGTCATGTTTCTTAGCCCTTACTTTCATGTTTCTAAATATCACTAATAAGAGTATTCAAATAGTACACTTTCAACCTATACAAAGATAATTAGTATGTAAGTTAACCTCACAACACAAAAATGCCACCTTTTTTTTTTCCCTTCACCCTGCACTTCATCTTTTCCAAGCTAGTTTTGCTTTGTTTTCTGTATTTTAATAAATGAGAGCTTAGAAAATTCTCACTTCGAAGGCCAAGGCATCAAGTAGCACCCAACAGGGTATTATGTTATTAAAAAAAACAAAAAAACAAAAAAAAAAACACCCCCAAAACTAAACGAAACAGAAAAAACCCACATACCCCCAAAACTATAGGGCCCAAAGGAGATGAAAGCACTTTCTTTTTTCCTTTTAAGGCCATGTATTTCAGGAAACAATGGCTACGTCATAACCACGTTATTTGCAGTTGCACCTTACCATGCCATGAGGTGAAACGGCAGTCCTAACGCCACCGTGTGTAGTGGCAGAAGTCTCTAGCTTCTTCGTCATCTGAACTTCATTCAGCTGTTTGTTTAACCAATTGATTACTGAAGAGAGAAGAAAAAGGTCAGGCTCACTTCCTACCTCTTACAAGCTGTTTAAAACAGCAAGTAGCCCTTCCTCAGAAAACACGACAGTTTGGTGGGCTATTTTTCCTCTTTAAGCTCAAGCGTGACTCGAAGTCCCAGGCTCACGAAAAGCCTTTTTCTCCAAGCTTCCCCCACCCCTACGCGCCATCCTGGTCCTTCCCCTAGCGTCGCCCCCCCACGCACACCACCCCAAGCCACCAGGAGCGCCAGCGGCAAAGGAAGCCGCCCCTGCTTGCAGCTCTAGGTTGTTGCGTACCCACTACAGGCAAAAGCTTGTTTTTCTTTACAAAAAAAGAACACAGGTAAAGCAATATAGTTGCTTCCATTAACTGTCAGTAGCAGCTAGATCACCGTGTCCTTTTGACAGACGGAGAAATGAAATCGTATAAACCTACCGTTTTCATTGGTTTTCAGTAACTGCTTACTTTCTTCTAGTTTTTGTATTGTAGTTTCTAGCTGTTCTTGTAGCTTGCAAACCTGCAATATTCCCATAATAATTATAACACCATCAGGAGCTACCGCTACTTACAAACTGAAGAAAAAAGATAATGTAAATAAATAAAAAGGATCTATGAAGTTGTTCTAAAAATATTTACAGAAGTTTGAAGTCAGTTTTTTTACAAAAGCAGTATGATAATTCTTTTAAAATAAGCCCTACTTCTAGCTAAGGTTTCGACAAGATGACAGCCAGAAACCTTTCCAACTTCAATTTTTCTATGATTAACTAATGCAAGGACTCTAAGCAGGGAAATATACTTAATGGAAGAAAAAGTTCACTCTGTTCCTGTTCTTGCCTCCTTCACCAGCTTTCACATGAACACGCCCTCCACAGCATGTCGATTCATCCATCACATTGCTCTGTACTCTTAACACAAGTTTAGTTTTATTCCGTATGGATGGATGGCTTTTACAAATCAGTTAAACATGAAAAAAAATGAAAAAAGTTGATTACACGTTTAAACAAACATGTTAACTAAGAGTGCATTCTATTCCACGGAAAGATTTAAGACCCCGTTGCTGAAAGTAAGTAAGTTACAAACCAGAGAACCCAACACGCTACACACAATAGCAGTTACAGGACAGAGGGTTAACCTATCACAATACCTCCTGCTCTTTCATTCGAAGAGATTGTCCCGTCTCCTGCAATTCTCTCTGCTCTTTTTGAAGTCTCTCTTCTTTTTCTGCCAATAGTTTTTCCTGTTGAATTGTTACTGTATTTTTCAATTTTAATTTACTCATTAGAGTTTTCAAATCTCCCTGTAACTTCTTGATAATTTCATTAGCCTATTAAAAAAAACAATATATCAGAAACACCTAAAAATAAGGAACACATTTCTTAAGGATAACGGCATGTTCAAACCAACCTTAAGAAGTTCAGCTGACAGCGACTTAATTGTTGTCTCTAGTTTTTCAATATGGCTTTGTTTTTTCTCTGTACTCTCTTCCAGTATCGCCTTTAAAAGATTATTAAAAATATTATAATAAATATTATAATAAATATATGTGATAGACATCGCTTATTATTTCAATTAGAACCTCAACAATTCTCTGAGAACTAATCCTTACGAGAAATTCAGGCCTTGCTTTTCAGTCAAATTACATAGGATCTCAATTCACCCATTTTTTTGTTGACAAGAAGTACCACTAACTTTACCCCACTACCACAATATTAAAACCGTAGCGACTGAATTCAGTATATTTTTGATGCCATAATTTAGAATCTTTAACCACATTTGAAAGCTTACTTGCTGTATTCATAAAAACTGGTCAGCTGCTAATCTATAGAGACGGCAATCAAGAAGGTTCTACAGAGCTTTAGAGAAAATAGTTTTGGAACTTGAAGGAACCTTTTGTTCTTGTGTTGCATCTAATACTTCTTTTGTTCTAATTACTAGCTGATCTTTATCTTTGATCTCTTGTTCCAGAACAGCAACCCGTGTCTGTAGCTGATTAATGAGCTTCTCTTTTTCGTGACATTCAGCATCCAGAGTAGTGTTCTCCCGACGCAGTGACAGCACCTCCTGCTTTGCTCTTTGACATTCCTAGAATGTTGGGAAGGAATTTCATTTTATTTTTATTTTTTTTTTAAGAAAACCCGTAATAGTAATTTAAGCAGATATATCTAAATAGTAAGGCTAATGTGGAATGAAGAGGAGCTGAACAAACTTAATATGCTATATTTTCTATTACATGCATAGGCAGGCAGTGTTAATGCTCTAAAAATAGTAAGTTTGGTTATGGGAATTACTAAGTCATACATCTTCTATTCCAGAAAGCTTTGCTTTCAGTTCTCTGACTGTGGAGTCTCCTTTGTATCTCCTTTCTGTTAGATCTTTATTGATGACCTCAAGTTCCGAGAGTCTGTTCTGCAACTGTTGAATACTTTTCTGATGCAAATTTTCCAATTCCTTTTTCTGTTGTTCATGCTGTTGTTGGTACTGAGCTTGTGCCTATGAGAAGCAAAGAAACTACGTAGTTATTCAGTGAATCTGAAAATTAAGCCAAGAAACTATTCACATAGAAGAATATTGTGAATTCTTTTCTGTTGTCATACCTGGAGAGCTTTTTCCTTTTCATTTGTCAGCTCCTGTGTGTGTTTGTTTGTTAGAGCTGTAGTGTACGATGTCCATTCATTTTTCAGTTTGTCCAGTTCTCGGCTCTTCTCTGACAAGCTCTGTTTGACAAGGCACAGAGTTTTAAAAATTTAAGCGTTTCAGTCAGTACTGAATGATTCTTTACTGTTACTTCTTAAACAGGACATGGAATTATTAAGAAAAGTCTAAATTTCAGCATATAATTTGTGCGTGCATATAACAGACAGACTTCTGTACAAAATAAAGTAAGATTCTGGTTTAGTACTGTAAGAACTAAATTTTATTCTTGAGTTGCACGCTTTACTCATTATTAAGAAAAGCTACAGTAGACTACTTTTCTTCTTTTCACTCACTCCCGAGTCAATTATCTTGGCTAGGTGGTGGCTAACCAACCAGCCCGCAAGAAGGTACGTTTTCCACAAATTAAAAAAAGCGCAACTTACAACAGTAAAGTTAAAAAATTACATTACCTGTTGAGTGTAGCTGAGTTGTCTGGTAAGATCCTCTTCTGTTTTTCTAAGCTTTTCTTCCAACATCATTTTGTCTTCCTGTGTACAAATTGACATCAAGTCAAATCCTTAGCTCCCAAAATACAAGTCATATTTAGCTTCCATTTTATCAGCATACCCTGCCTAAGCAACCACATACCCATTATATTTGTGGAAAAAATCATCTTATTGAATAAACTTCATATTGAATAAGATATAATTAATACATTTAAAAGAAAAGGCATTAGCTCACAAGGTAAAAACCCTGAATTGAATTCTCACCAAGTTTTTATAAGGAAATAGTATCTTATCATAAAGATTTGTTTACAAAGGAGTTGCACGAACAACGAATCAACTGAAATACTGTAAATTTATATTAAAATAGCTTATTAGGTGCCTATAAACATGACAGCACAGTATGCGAGAGACAAATCCCAGGCTACGAAACCAAAACAGGCAACAAGCAAACTATGAGACCATTAACTTCTCATTAAATAAAACCTAGCATGCTACCAACTGCATCAACATTACAATTTTAATTCGCTATTTACAGCTACTAGCCCTTTGAAGTCCATAAAGCCTTAGAATTACAAACACACGCGTGCTTTCCTAAACCCAACTGCCGAACAAAGACACTGCAAGTTTACAGTATTTTACTTTTGCAGTTGATCAGGCAACCGGCACAAGGCTGTGATGCACAGGACACTGAAGCATTCAGAAGCATTCAACAGCTGCAGATTACATGCACTGCATGTGTAAAATACCTGATTTTCTGCCAGTTCAAATTACAGCACTTGGTTGAATACATGTAATATTTTAATTGCTAGAATAACAGTAACAATTTAGTTTCATAACATGCACCCAAATAACTGCATGCAATGACATATATGAGTTAAAATAAACCAGAGCATACAATTTGGTACATACTTTTGAAGTATTAAGACTGAAAAAATGCTTAAGTACACATCGCATCAAGGCCTAGTTGCAGCTATGACAAGCCTTCATTTTACCTTAAGGCATTTCAAACAGCTGGCTAGAAACTTCTTTATTTCTGCATCATTTCCTGGTAGGAATTTTAGAGAGAGATGGGTAAGATGTTTAAAAGGGTTGGTCTCCACTACATTTAAAGAGACAGGTGTGTGATCTAGAACAGATGCTGAAGAAACTAACTGCAGCAAAAACCTAGGGAAAATCAAAAATAATCACGTTTAGCATATTTCTTTTCCTGAAACTACCTGTAGATCCTACAAGCTATTTTCAAATAAAATACATTTTTATATGTGCAATAAAAGGCTGCCCAGTTCTTGTTTGAAAAAGAACTAGGAAATTCAATCCCTATGTTGTAATTAATACTACAAGTATCAACTGAAATGCTTGCACCTTATAATAATAAATGTACAGAACTAATCAGTTTGTTTATTTGTAAAATTTTCAGAAGCCCATCTTAGACTTAGGAGTCCAAAGCCATGTAAGGCCTTTGTAACCAAGTTCAAAAGGAAAACAGACTCCTGACTTAGGTATCCTATAACCTAGTAAAATTCATAGCCCACAGTACATACTTCAGGAAATGGCCTGACTGTTGGAGTGGAGCTAGGTACTCTGGGCAGGGCTTTCCTCAGTACCCACACAAACATAGATAACACATGAAAAGGCCACTACAGGGTAGAGCGGACCTCAGGCCTCCCCCCTCACATATTAGTATCTGAACACTGAAATGAAAGAAAAAAATCCTTGTCAGAATGCTTTATAACTTTGCCTTCTCCTGTGAAACAGAACGGTTTACACCTCAGTCTATCAAATTCAGATTAGCTTGCTAGCATTAGACTTAAAGAAAAAAAAAGAAGAAGAAAAAAAAAAAGGACCAATGCTGCATCCTCTCACTTCTGCTAGCTTGTGAAGCTTGCCAGCTTCAACTCAGATGGGGAGACTATTACTAGACATCAATTCCGCTGCTCCGTCCTCCTGAGACTTAGGTTTTGCCAGCAACATCCACTGACTGATATCCTGATGCATCCAGGGGAAGGTTAAATTATTCTCGTTCTGCTGACACTTCTCAGTCTGAGTGGCTGACAAGTATTTTAAGACCTCACCACACACACAGACAGAGTAATACGGCACACACTTATTACCTACCTCGGGATATCTTTGTTCTGTTCCTGAATGCATTGCTGAAGCAGATCTATAAATTTTTGTGGGAAAGCAGAGAAGTCTACCAAGAGACCTTGCTGGGATTTTAAACTATATAAACAGATTGGAAAAAAAATATATTAACAATACATAGAAGTGTCATTTATTTCTTATAAAATATTTTGTTTAAACTAGTAGAAAGAACTAATTCTGATCATGTCATTAAAGTTCGCTAGCATGTTATTTTCAATCCTGAACACAGAAGAAATGCGATCACGTCTTGGATAATAATCACCAGAGGATATTTTTGATTTTCAAGAGTTCTTGCAAATGGACTGCACTAAAAAAGTTAAAGAAAAAAAAGTTACCGGCAAAACAAATGTGCTCCTTTGAGTAGGCATCTTCCTTACAGCACAGAGTGGTAAGGTTATTCGATAGGGGCACACAGAAGCAGCAGAGGACAATGAGGGGAGACCCAATCATTATCAAGACTTTATCTGCCTACTTGTTTATTTAATTGCGCACCTTCACCACAGATGCAGTCAACTCAAAGACAGAAAGAGACATTCAACAGTGTATGCACAAAGCCATACCTTGTATAACAACACACTTCTGCACATCTGTTTTACAAATACTATTTTACTTTTGCCTTTTGATCCACACACTGATCACATCTGTCTTTAAAAAAAAATAAAAAAAAAAAAAACAAAAAAAACCCAAACAAACAATAAAAACCCCCCAAAACACACCACAAACAAAATCAAAACACTCAAACAACAAAGCAGAAAACTCAACTGTTCATGCCTGGTGCCCAAATCTGATGATCAAATTTTGAGCAGGTAAAGTAAAATGAGACCCAACAGTACAATTAGTATGCAAGAAACACATAAGACAAAGGCTCAGGTCTGTGAATCCACGTCCACACAGACTTTCCTCTTGCAATCATTTCTTGAAATAGTTCACATGCATATAATAGTCTATAAGAAGTAGTTACGATAAACAGAAGATGCAAGTAGTAATATAAACTGTGGTACTGTAGCTACGCAGGGAACTTAACATCAGGATTCTGTCACTCATCTGTATAATCTTGAGCCAATCGCTTTCCCGTACTTGGCTGTTTCACCAACTGGTCAAAGAGAACAATACTGCCAAAACACTGACAAAACTCCACAAGTGAAAAATGCCAAAACCTAGATTCTAAGATAGGCCATTCTAAGCTAAAAATATTCCTTCATTCTTTTTTGCCATTTAGAAATGTTTCACAGACAAGACATTACAATTTCACTTACCTTTGAAAATCTTCCTCAGATATGACAAGGTTATAAAGGAAAAAAGGATCAGTATCATCAGTCAATCGAACAGCTAAATCCTGAAAAGACAGACATTTAAATATGATTTAAAATACCATAAACCATCCTGTAGGGTTGTTTAAATGCTGTAAACCAATATTGCAAACAGTATTTAATGTTTTTACTGTTTAACCAAAAATAAGATAGAACTGTGGCAACTAATTCAGAAGGTGGAAAACATTAACATTTAACACAACTTCAAATATTACAGTGGGAAAAACAGGAAAACTATTTCTCACAAAAACAAACCAAGTAAAAACCTTCACCTCTGAGCAGCAAAGGTTTCAAAATTCAATGTGTCTTCACCATTTCACAGAAATAAAACTATTTGCTATTTTTCCCCATCATGAAATAGAGCGTAGCACTAGCAGTCCACTGTAATGGATCACAAATACGTCATTCCATAACTGGAAGTTTTTCAGAGCATACTGCTCCTAAACATTTAAGAAAGCGCCTTCTGAAGAGTTCATATATTGGAATACAAAGCTTTGCAAAGCAAACATAAAATGGATACAGCTGAAGTCCAGCAGGCTTGTAAAAAAAATTGTAGCATTATGCTGCTTAGCTTTTAAAAATAAACTCATTTGTTTGGTGGAGATCTACACAGTGTTTTGGAAAAACTGCCTTCTCTGTGAAGGTTAGTCTTTCATTACAAGGCTGGGGTTAGGCAAAACACCTGGTACATTAGGCCTAAGCACCTGTTCTCTATAACGAGGCTCAAACCTGTGTGAAGAATGTAATATTCCCTAGCAGAGGAAAGAAAATAAGTAGAAACCTGACAGATCTTCCAACATAACTGAAGGTGACCATAGCACACGTACACATATAGAACTGAAACAAGCTTCAGTAATTCAGATACCTGTAACATTAACAAAACTCTCAGCTGGAGATGTATGAATGAACAGGGATTTATATACGCAGCTAGCTTATGTTAAAGCTAATGCCACCCCACACCAACTAGGGCGGGTTGTTGAGTAGGATAAGAATGCCTGCTTGGTTTGATGTCCCATTAACTGATCCAAGCATTTGAAGTTATCTTTTTAGACTGATAGCTCACTGATGTACCCAACTGGATTTCCAGGCTCCTGCTGACACAGGCTGCAACTTGGTACACAGTTCTTAACTGAACTGCTCCTTCACACAATATTATCATTGTCACAGTTAGCAGAGTCTTACAAAAAAATGCTGTACTCCTTTACAAACAAATCTTTACTCAATAATACTATAACCAACTAATGACCAATCTTAACATCATGGTAGGTGGATGTACAATTTAAGCGGCAAATTAGACATACAACAAAGAAAGATTTTATAACCTCCAGCCGTAATCTCATTGCTATTTTTCCTGAGGAAGAAGATTTTTTTACTGCAAATTTAGTACATTACTTCCTTCCTACCCCCACTGGATGAATTCCAAACATCCAGAGACTAATGCACTTATCAATACAAACCAAAATCTTACATCCACATACTAGCTGTCATTTTTGCTAGTTAAGATGAGGACTTTGCAAAGACAACTGCTGCTCTACATTCTTAAATAAGTGTTGAGTTTATTTAAGTGAGACTGCTCTGAAGCTCTAACTCAGGTTCCTCTGAGGGTCTCCAAAAACTTTTAATTTGCAAGTTTACTAAGACCCATGAACAGCCAAACTAAAAGATAGGGCTAAAAACATTATAAAACAACCACCATACGAAACCAACTAAATTACTCAAGAAATTATATTAAAAATAAAATAAGGTCAAGTGACAAACATACTAAAAATCCTATTTTGCTTTTCCTTCGCCTATTTGTCCTCTTATACAATGAAATTCAGGCAATGCTTAATGAATGACACAAATATAACTAATCCACAAACCTTTTTATGAACAGGATTAGAAACTGACAGTAGCTCAATATTCACTCGAACATTTAATCTCCTGTATACAAAAAGATGAAACTTAGTAACAAATCAAGAAAACATTCTCCAAATAACATGTATTCATAGCCACATTACAGGAATCAGATGACATGTAGAAAACAAAAATTTAGGCAGAAATATCGAGAAAGTTCCTATTGATGACTACTATTAAGATACCCGAAAGCCCTGGAGTTTCAGTTATCATTACAGCTCCTCAGTCAGCTCAGGTTTTTTTCTTGCTTGTTATCCACCAAACTTTAAATAGTAAGGCAGAAGTTTTGCAACTTTGTCCAGAGACTAGAACCTGTGGAAATGCCTGCTGAAGTTTATTAACGATTGCTGAAACTTTTGATAACCATTTATACAGTGCTACCTTGTCTTCATTTACTTCTTGTTGAGTAATCCGAGAAGTTACTCGCATTACAGAACACACGCCCAGACATCAGCCTTTCTGTGCTTCCTAATGCAGGCAAGCCAGAGTAGCCCTAACTCCTGCATACACTGTCTAGTCCAGATAGGACCTATATCACCGAGTTATTACTGCACTATATTTTGAATAAACATATACTATATTTTGAATAAACACTTCACATAAAGTATTCCTGGGCTTTCCCAAACCCCAGCGCTAAGCCATGCACACACGCACACGGGTGCGCCCAAATCGACCGATCCTGGGCAGAAACCGATCGGGAGGGACGCCTGGGCTCGCCCACGCCGCAGGGGCAGTAACGAGGGAGCTGAAGTGCTCCGGCGGCCGCGGTGAGGCCGGCTTCAGGCTGCGAGGAGGAGGAGGAGGTGGTGGAGGCGGCGGCGGGCCTGCCCGCGGGGCCCCCGCCGC